CGAGCATTTTAAACCGGTTCCTTGGGCACTGCGAACTGGTGGAGGCTGGTGAGGAGAGAGTAAAGGGTGTATAGAAACTCGTGTGGGAGTAGAACTTTGGATCAGTTGAAGTTTCTGAATCCACAAATTCAGCAGCGCAAGTGTAAATGTAGGTAACATGCTCTCCCACACGTGGCTCTACACACTGCAGGAAATGTTAGCCCAGATTACAAGGAGTGTTTAGCAGTTACTGGAAAAAGCTGCCCAGCAACTCTATCACATAGTTCTCTGAAACCACAGTATATTGCACTCAGCCACTATTAATGACTGTACCACCCACTGTTTACCTGCAGGTGCCTCCTGGCGGGAATGGGAGTCAGTACGAGGAGATTGATATCCCAGTCGGTCTTCTCAGCTATGATGACATGCTGGATATTTCTAAGGTGAAAAGAAAACTGCTTTTCCTCTAGTGGGCAATTTTTACAGCAGATCAGAATGGCTCCAACACAGCAGCAGCATGTTGGATCAAGGGTGACAAACCACAGAAAAGTGACTGCATGAAGTAAGGGTGAGATGTTATGCCCTGACCAAAACAACTATGCCAAGCATATCACTTTTCTCACTTTTTGGAGTTTATGGGGATCAGCCGAGTGTCTGACATACATGCTTAAGAGTATCCAAGCCAGACTTGTTCCACGGATGCCATCTACACAAGGAAAAGTCCATGTCTGGATTGGAATGTGCGATCCTCCCCAGAGGGGGGCATCCTGCTTACCTAATTCTAGAGAGTATTAAGGCAAACTGGCAAAAGGCAGGGCTTGGGGATCTCAGGATGTGTGTTGGGGTAACTGGAGTCTAACCAATCAAAACCACATAGCTTGTTATTCAGAGTGCTGCCTGGCAAGCTTTCCCACTGCTTGTCCTGCTAGGACCACCTTACCCGTTAGGGCTTTCCCACTGCTTGTCCTGCTAGGACCACCTTACCCGTTAGGGCTTTCCCACTGCTTGTCCTGCTAGGACCACCTTACCCGTTAGGGCTTTGACTGCAGGGTTAAAAGGAGCTGAGTGGGAGGATTCCCTGCCCCCAGTGACTGGTCTGTCCTTCCAGGTCCTGCTGATGAGCCAGGCTGGGCTGTGCTGTCATCGGCGGTGAGTGCCCTGGAATACTGAGGACCCGCCAACCTCACGGGACAAATTGTTGTTGTTGTAAAACAAAAAGAGTTTGTTTTACAACAACAACAATTGAATGAATGACCATTTTTTTGTCTGGAGTTTGATGGCCAGAAGAAACTCCCGTCTCTTTTCAAATTGGGGCTTTGATGTAATATCTCAACTGAAGAATGGCATCTCCGACAACATGCACCCACCCGCCACCCCATGCACTGGAATGTCAATTTAGGGACAGGTCATCTTCCTTGGAGCTGAACTGCAACAAAAACAAAACGCAGAATACTGCAGATGCTGGAAATCTGAAACAAAAAACAGAGATAGCTGGGAAAACTCAGCAGGTCCGGCAGCATCTGTGGAAAAAGGAAAGTGAGTCAATGTTTCAGGTTCTGACGAAGGGTCATGGACTCGAAACGTCCCTCAAATGGGCAGCACTGCTTCTGAGTCCCTGGTAGTAAGCGCATCACTGCCCTGCTCTCCCCGTCACCAGGCACCACACCCCCATAACTCAGGAATTTTTGAACTGACAGTCTAGATTGACATTCCAGTGCATGGGGTGGCGGGTGGGTGCATGTTGTCGGAGATGCCATTCTTCAGTTGAGTTATTACATCAAAGCCCCAATTTGAAAAGAGACGGGAGTTTCTTCTGGCCATCAAACTCCAGACAAAAAAATGGTATTCATTTCATAGCTGTGTGAAACGCTGCTTCTGCTGCATTCGCCTACAAATTACAACTGTACAGTTTACTACACTTTACCGTAAATCCTGTGAACATAAGAAATGCTAGACGAAAAAAGACCAAGGTCCATCTAGTTCGCCTTCCACATTTCTGACGGTCACTGTATGACTCCTCCTTATAACTCACTCTATACTCCTCGTCCCCCTCTCCTCCTCCTCCCATTAGCGTCATCTGATCACCTCTGCCCGTTTGTTGCAATCACTGATGTTACTAAACTATCACAGAGCCGGGAGTATGAGCAGCTCTTTATCAGAATGTTTCTCTCTGTTGCAGAGCTTTGTGAAGCCTCTCCGAGTGGCTCTGTATGCCCCCCACGAGCCATTCCTGGACTATAACATGGTGGTGATCTTTGTCATGGCTGTCAGCACCGTGGCGATTGGCGGCTACTGGGCAGGAAGCAAAGATATAAACAAGTAGGTGCTGTATAAGCTGTGCCGTATACTGGCAAAGAGCAGCAGGTCTGTGCCTTTCCTTGTGCCCCAGCAGCTTCCAATGAGGAGAAACCGTAAGAGGAGAAGCTGGGGAGAGCACTACATAAAAGCACTCTGAACATGGGGCAGGTAAAGCTTGTAGCAGTGTAGGTGGAGCTAAGCTGTGTTCATTGAGCAAATTTAGAAATGTATCATGAGAAGAAAACAGAGAGTAGGGATAAACGGGTCCTACTCAGATTGGCAAGATGTGACTAGTGGAGTGCCACAAGGATCAGTGTTTGGGCCTCAGCTATTTACAATCTATATCAATGATCTGGACAAGGACATAGAACTTAGAATATCTAAATTTGCGGTTCATACTAAGCTAGGTGGGAGAGTAAGCTCTGAGGATGACACAAAAGGATTGCAAAGGGATATAGATAGGCTGGGGGAGTGGGCGAGTAGGTGGCAGATGGAATTTAATGTGGGGAAGTGTGAAGTTGTTCACCTAGGTAGTAAAAACAGAAAAGCAGATTATTTTCAAGAGGGGGAGAGATTAGATAGTGTTAGTGTTCAGAGGGATTTGGGTGTCCTTGTACACCAGTCACAAAAAGTTAGTTTGCAGGTACAACAACAACAAGATTACATTTGTTCAGCACTTTTCAGGTCGGGAGGATGTCCCAAGGCACTGGACAGAGTACAGCATTTCAGACCCGAGCTGGGGTCGGGATGGGAAGGGAGGGGAGGGGAAGGGGGGTGACCGGTGGCATAGTTGAAGAGGAGGCTATTTAGGCGGCACTTGAAGGAGGCTAAGGAGGGGGCAAGGTGGAGTGATTCGGGGATGGAATTCCAGAGGTTGGGGGCAGAGTGACTGAAGGCTCTCCCGCCAATGGTGGGGCGGGTGGGTCGGGGGACATGGAGCAGCCAGAGCCGGCTGAGCGGAGGGAGCGGGCGGGTTGGTAGGGTGTTAGGAGGTCACAGAGGTAGGGTGGGGCGAGGCCGTGGAGGGCTTTGTATGTGAGGACCAGGATCTTGAACTGGATCCTCTGAAGGATAGAGAGCCAATGGAGTCGGGCGAGAGTGGGGGAGACGGGGTACGGAGTTTGGTGCGGGAGAGGACATGGGCTACAGAGTTCTGGATTATCTGCAGCCTGTGGATATAGCAAGCAACTAGGAAGGCTAATGACATGTTGGCGTTTATTGCAAAAGGGTTAGAGTACAAGAGTAGGGAAGTCTTGCTGCAACTGTATTGGGCCTTGGTCAGACCACACCTCGAGTATTGTGTGCAGTTTTGGTCTCCTTATTTAAGAAAGGACATACTCACCTTAGAGGGGGTGCAGCGTAGATTCACTCGGTTAGTTCCTGGGAGGAGGGGGTTGACCTATGAGGCTAGGTTGAGTAAACTAGGCCTATATTCTCTAGAATATAGTTAGTTAATATAGTTAATATAGTTAATAATAATAATTAATATAGTTAATGGGGTTAGTGAAAGTGACTTGCTCTGCCAAAGAGCCGGCATAGACTCGATTTGCCAAATGGCCTCCTTCTGTGCTGTAACATTCTATGAATCTATGAATCTATGAATATAGAAGAATTAGGGGGTGATCTTATAGAAACATATATAAGACAGTAAGACTGTTTCCCCTGGCAGGAGAATCTATAACCAGGTGTCACAGTCTTACGATTAAGGGTCAGCCTTTTCAAACAGAGTTGAGGAAACATTTCTTCACTCAGAGAGTAGTGAATTTATGGAATTCTCTACCCCAGAAGGCTGTAGATGCTCAGTCCTTGAACATATTCAAGACTGAGATTGATAGATTTCTAAAGCATAGGGATAAGGGATATAGGGATAAGGTGGGGAGATGGAGTTAGGTTAGAAGATCAGCCATGATCTTATTGAATGGCACGGCAGACTCTTGGGGCCGAATGGCCTACTCCTCCTAATTCCTATGTTCCTATCATTGCATTTCTGGGATCAGGTTCTGTTGATAATGCTCTTATTTCCTTTATACAAAATCACCTGTATCTAGGAATTGAGGGAACAGTGCTGATATTTGTCTATGATGCCAAATTTGGTGCATAGTAATTTTTCATAGATTATGAAAGACTGCATAAGAAAATGATAGGTACCATAGATGGCAGAACTAGTTCAATGGTGAAAAATATGTACAACAACCCCATTTAGCACCCTTCACTCAAGTGGTCTCATTAGTCTTGTACATGTATAATAATGCATCTTATAGTAAGAGTAGAGAAAGGAGGAGCAAAGAGACCATGGTATGTAGATGCACAGGTCATTAAAGATGGCAGCATAGAGTTAGGTAAAGATTCTTTACACAGAGGATGGTTGGATTGTGGAATTCTCTGGTACAAACAATAGTTGAAACGGGATTCATAAATTATTTTAAAAGGAAATTAGATAATTCTTTGCATACCTGAAGGGATATTAAACTGTATGTGGAGAGAATAAGAGAGTGGGATTAAATTAGGTGTTTTGTGTGGAAAAAATGACAGCACAGACTTGATAGACCACATTTCTAAGGTGGAATTCTTTGTTGCATCAATGTATGTTGTGCTTAATAGACAGGGCTATTAAAGCTGCTTTGTTTGCCGATTACACCTGGCTCAAATCCAGCCTAATGGTCCACTGCCACATCTGGCTGGACCTCATCAAATAACACTCTGCTCTCGCCTCAGCCAAATCGTCCTTCTATTCCAGGTTAATCCTGGAGGCGAAGGGCAGCCCGAGGCTCCTGTTCTCCACCAACCGGCTCCTCCGCCCTCCCCGCCACGCCTCACAGCTTCTTTCCTCTGACTCCCACTGTGATAAAATGCTGGACTTCCTCGAGTCCAAAATCGAGGGAATCCGCTCAGCTGCCATTGCCCTCTCAACTTCCACTCCCTCCCTAAACACACCACACACAATTACCCATCCGACAAATACCCATCCCTCCTTCCACACCTTTGAACCTGTCACCCCCTCCTTTGTCTTCACTACCATATCCTCCATGAAGCCCACTACCTGCTCCCTGGACCCCATCCCCACCTCTCTCCTTAAATCCCAGCTCCACTTCCTTGCCCCACTACTCGCCGACATCATTAACCTCTCCCTGTCATCTGGCACTGTTCCTTCCCCCCTCAAAACAGCCACTATCACCCCCACCTTGAAGAAACCTTCCCTATCCAGCTACCGGCCCATCTCAAATCTCCCTTTCCGATCCAAGGTCCTTGAGAGAGCCGTTGCCTCCGTGCTTCGCTCTTTCCTCTCCTCCATGAACCCCTCCAATCGGGTTTCTGTGCTGCCCACAGCATAGAAACTGCTCTGGTCAAGGTCACAAACGAGATCCTGACCATGTGTGACCAGGGCTCCCTCTGCCTCGTCCTCCTCGACCTCTCCGCCGCCTTTGACACTGGACCACTCCTCCACCGCCTCTCCTCCCATCACAACCTTCAAGGTTCTGTCCTTGACTGGTTCAGGTCTTAACTTTCACACCACCTCCACTTCGTCGCGGCAAACAGTTTCTCCTCCAGCCTCCGCACAGTCTTGTGCAGCGTTCCTCAGGGCTCTGACCTCAGTCCCCTCCTCTTCACCCTCTACATGCTCTTCCTTGGTGACATCATCCACAGACATGGGGTAAATTTCCACATATATGCGGATGACACCCAACTCTACCTCTCTGCCTCCACCCTGAACTCCAGGACTACTGGGGTCCTGACCGACTGCCTGTCCGACATCAAGTCCTGGACGAGGGACAACTTTCTCCAACTCAACGTCAGCAAGACCGAGGCCCTCCTGATTGGCTCATGCCAGCGCCTCCGCACCTCGGGCACTGGCAGCATCAGCCTCCACGGCTGCACACTCAACCTCACTGAGCCAGTCAGGAACCTGGGGGTCTTGTTTGACCCCAAACTGTTCTTTCTCCCCCACATCCACACCATGACCGGCACTGCCTACCACCACCTCCGCAACATTGCCAGACTCCGCCACTGCCTCACCCCTCAGGCTGCCGAAACCCTCACCCACGCATTCGTCACCTCAAGGCTCGATTATGGAAACTCCCTCCTCATCGGCCTTCCCAACTCTTCCCTTCAGAAGCTGCCGATCATCCAAAACTGCAGCTCGTGTATTCTCGCGCACCAGCCTCCGTGACCCCATCACTCCCACCCTCGCCCAACTCCACTGGCTCCCCATCCCCCAGAGGATCGAGTTCAAGATCCTCGTCCTCACTTTCAATGCCATCCTTGGCCTTGCCTCCTCCTACCTCTCTGACCTGCTGACTCCCTACCAACCTGCCCGCTCCCTCCATTCAGCAGGCCCCGGTCTGCTTCATGTCTCCTTTCAGCCTCTCTGCCCCAACACTCTGGAACTCCATCCCACGGTCCCTTCGCCTCGCTTCCTCCCTTACCTCCTTCAAGGTCAGTCTCAAGACCCTTCTCTTCGATCGTGCCTTTGGTCGCCCTCCTACCTCTCTGCTTTCCCTCACCCCTACCCCACCCCTCTCCCATGCTCGGGCCCCGACACCTGACTGTTCAGCGCTTTGGGACGTCCTCCCGACGTGAAAGGTGCTCTATAAATGTAATTTTTTTATTGTTGTTGGCTTCAGGCGCTACATGAAAAACAAGCATGATGGTGCAGAGAAGCAGGACGACGAGACTGTTGATGTGACACCGATTATGATCTGTATTTTTGTCGTCATGTGCTGCTCGATGCTGGTGCTACTTTACTACTTCTACAATCAACTAGGTCAGTCCTCACTGGGTACACAGCTCCACTGCCCAGCCAATGGTACACAGCTCCACTGCCCAGCCAATGGTACACAGCTCCACTGCCCAGCCAATGGTACACAGCTCCACTGCCCAGCCAATGGTACACAGCTCCACTGCCCAGCCAATGGTACACAGCTCCACTGCCCAGCCAATGGTACATAGCTCCACTGCCCAGCCAATGGTACACAGCTCCACTGCCCAGCCAATGGTACATAGCTCCACTGCCCAGCCAATGGTACACAGCTCCACTGCCCAGCCAATGAGCTCCTCGGATGGGAATTGAATACTATAACAGAGGCCTTGTTTCTGAATGCCAACTTGCCATGAGTTTGATATGTGTGTGCACCCATGAAAATTTGATGTGAAAATTGCCATACCTTGTGAGATTTAATTTTGCGAGTCCGCACATTGGTATATGTGGGCACTACCTAGAGCAGCTGTGTAGGTGTAGGGCTCTGTAGTCAGGTACCAAATGTGTACCAAACCCTCCCTGGAGCCATCCCTACTCTCAAATTACTGCCCCATCTCCAAACCTCCCTTTCCAAGGTCCTGGATCGAATCATTGCTTCTCAGCTTCGCTCCTTCCTCTTCCACCACTCCCTTCACAAACCCCTCCAAACAGGTTTCCGTGCCGCCCCCAGCACAGAAATAGTCCTGGATGAGGGTTAACTTTCTACAGTTGAACGTCAACAAAACCGATGCCCTTCTTGATTGGCTCCCGTCAGCGCCTCCACACCTCAGGCACTGACAGCAACCAAGGATGGATGCTCCACCTCACTGAACCAATCTGGAACCTTGAGTTCTTGTTTGACCCTCAACTGTCGTTTCTACCCAACATCTGTACCATGACCCGCTCTGCCTTCCCCACCTCTGCCACATCGCCAGCTCCGCCACTGCCTCATCCCTAGGCCACCGAAACCCTCATTCACGCATTCATCACATCTAGGATCGACTTCGCCAACTCCCTGCTTGTTGGCCTGGCCAACTCTTCCCTCCACAAGCTGCAGATCATCCAGAGCTCTGCAGCTTGTGTCCTCTCCCGCACTGGGCTCCATGACCCCATTATCCCCATCCTTGCCCTGCTCCACTGGCTCCTCATCCCCCAGAGGATAGAGTTCACAATCCTCATCCTCGCCTTCAATGCCCTCCACGCCTTGCCCCCTCCTACCTTTGCGACCTGCTGACCCCATATCAATCTGTCCGCTCAGCTCTGGCCTGCTTCACGTCCCGGCCTGGTCCGTACCACCATCGTCGCTTGGGCCTTCAGCCTCTCTGGCCCCACCCTATGGAACTCCATCCCACATTCGCTTCGCTCCCTCCCTTCCTTCAAGGCACGTCTCAAAACTCTCCTCTTCAACCAAGCCTTCGGCCACCCTACTACCCTCCCTACTCTCTCCGATCCCAAACCCCAGCTCAGGTATAAATCCCTGACTTTCCAGTGCCTTGGGACTTCCTCCCGACGCGAAAGGCAAATGTAAGATTGTATTGTACTGTCTCCTGTGGAAAGGTTACTGGAGAACAATTGTCTTTTCAATTTGACCCTTGATTCTAAAAAACAAAGTATTAAAGTATTGGGGATCAACTAACGGAGTGGATTACACTAAGTGGCTCGTGCTTGATGGTCTGAATGGCTATTATCTATGCTGTAACTCTCGATGATATCATAGAATCAGAGCATCAGACAGCTCAGAAGGAAGCCATTTGGCCCATCGTGTCTGCGTCGGCTGTTTGAAAAGAGCTTCCCAAATCATTCCCACTCCCCCGCCCTCTCCCCATAGCCCTGATCAACCCCACTCCCCCGCTCTCTCCCCATAGCCCTGATCAACCCCACTCCCCCGCTCTCCCCATAGCCCTGATCAACCCCACTGCCCAGAACTGAACACAGTCTCTCGCTGAGGCCTAACCAGTGTTTTTTATAAAGGTTCATCATAATTTTCTGACTTTTGCATTCTATGCCCCTATTTATAAATACTAGTATCCCGGATGCTTTTTTAACAGGCTTCTGCAGATATGATGTTTCCTGCTGAAGTGTTAATATAATGGGATATTTTTAGGGCAATTGCAGCAGTGGTTGTCACTCCCAGCCTGGCCATTCACACTGGGAAAAGTGAGACTTTTCATCGGGAATTTTAGCTCAATCAGCTTATCCTTGTTCTGCATTAGTGATTCTCCTTTCAAAGTGTACAGTTCAGGAGCAGTGACTGGGTGGGTGGTCTGATTCTTGTAAATATGTAAACGTCACATGCGCAGTAATCTAGTCAGTCAGTAATCTGTTTTACTCTTCTTTTCTCCCCAACTTTGAATCCAGTCTACGTAATCATAGGAATTTTCTGCCTTGCTTCATCCATCGGACTTTACAGTTGCTTGTCTCCGTTTGTGAAAAGAATTCCTTTCTGCGAATGCAGGTAACAAGTGTTCTTGGTCTGACAATTTTGTGATCAGAATGTGCTCAAGCCCGGTGTAATGTTTTCTCTTTGCTCTCATTTTTCACCAGGGTTCCAGACATGGGCCTCCCATGCTGCCACAAGCAGCCGCAGGTCCGCATGCTGCTGCTTGCCCTATTTTGTGTCTCCATCAGTGTGGTGTGGGGAATTTTCAGGAACGAAGACAAGTAAGCAAACCAGTGTTGGATATTTCCTGCTACAATAATTGTTAAAAGAAACAGGGAAGGTGAGGAGAAAGGTTTTTCACACAGCGAGTTGTTGGGATCTGGAATGCGTTGCCTGAAAGGCCGGTGGAAGCCGCTTCGATAACAGCTTTTAAAAGAGAAGTAGATAATTATTTGGGGAGGACACGTTTGAGGGCTATGGGGAGAGAGCAGGGGAGCGGGGTTGATCAGGGCTATGGGGAGAAAGCGGGGGAGTGGGGTTGATCAGGACTATGGGGATGGAGTGGGGTTGATCAGGGCTATGGGGAGAGCGCGGGGGAGTGGGGTTGATCAGGGCTATGGGGAGAGCGCGGGGGAGTGGGGTTGATCAGGGCTATGGGGAGAGAGCGGGGGAGTGGGGTTGATCAGAGCTATGGGGAGAGAGGGCGGAGTGGGGTTGATCAGGACTATGGGGAGGGAGTGGGGTTGATCAGGGCTATGGGGGAGAGCGCAGGGTAGTGGGGTTGATCAGGGCTATGGGGAGAGAGCGGGGGAGTGGGGTTGATCAGGGCTATGGGGAGAGAGCGGGGGAGTGGGGTTGATCAAGTCTGTGGGGAGGGAGTGGGGTTGATCAGGGCTATGGGGAGAGAGCGGGGGAATGGGGTTGATCAGGGTTATGGGGAGAGAGCAGGTGAGTAGGGTTGATCAGGGCTATGGGGAGAGAGCGGGGAGTGGGGTTGATCAGGGCTATGGGGAGGGAGTGGGAGTGGGGTTGATCAGGGATTTGGGGAGGGAGTGGGAGTGGGGTTGATCAGGGCTATGGGGAGAGAGAGGGGGATTGGGGTTGATCAGGGCTATGGGGAGAGCGCGGGGGAGTGGGGTTGATCAGGGCTATGGGGAGAGAGCGGGGGAGTGGGGTTGGTCAGGGCTATGGGGAGAGCACGGAGGAGTGGGGTTGATCAGGGCTATGAGGAGAGCGCAGGGGAGTGGGGTTGATCAGGACTTTGGGGAGATGGTGGGAGTGGGGTTGATCAGGACTTTGGGGAGATGGTGGGAGTGGGGTTGATCAGGGCAATGGCGGGAGGGCGGGGGAGTGGGATTGATTCGGAACCTCTTTTCAAAGAGCCGACATTGACACGATCGGCCGAATGGCCTCCTTCTGTGGTGTGTAATTCTATGATTCTATGAATAGTAACGAATCAAATAAATCTGAATAGAATTTATTCAAGTGTTGGACAGGATCTTTACCTTATTTGTGTGGCAGGTGCTCTAACTTCTGAAGGTTTTATTTGGGTGAGGCTAACCAGTGAGGTCCATGCAGAGCTCGGTGGCTGCTGGTTTAGTTACATGTTTGGATGCGCTGTGCTGTCACATACTGACTACTAGAAAGAATTCAGTGGCTCTTTATATACAAATCTTTCCCAACAATATAATAAAGGAAAAGAATGGAAATGTAAGATAAATTAAATGAAAATGGAGGGATTATTATCCCCCAGAAAGCTATCCGCTAATTTACTAACAACCGGGTTCCTACTTACTGCCATGTAAACAGGCATGTGGAGGAAGGAAACTTGCTTTAGGTATCGCCCTGCCCAGGAATCAAACCCAGGTGTCTTGTTTGAGAGGCGAGTGCTCTAACCACTGAGCTACAGGACTCCACATGGAGGTGCAGGAGGTGAACGGGTGGCATGTCTGGCTCTAGATATTTATTTAGTTCCTTTTTTGAAATCTAATATGGATTCTGTGTCAATCACTGATCCAGGCAGGTATTACATATCCTAACCACTCTGTCTGGGGAAAAAATTCTAACCTCCCTAATTGCACATTTGCTAACTACCTTAAATTGATGCTCTCTGGTCGCTCACCCACCGATCAGTGGAGGTAATTTTTCCCTATTGATTCTTAACAAACACCTCATCAACATGTTTGTTCCAATGGAAAAATTCCCAGCTTCCCTAGTCTCCATTCATAGACCAAACTATTCGTCCCTGGTATTATCCTAGTAAATCTCTGCACCCCTCTATCACCTTGACATCTTTCCTAACATCCATGATGGACAAACGTTTAGAGGCTATAATAAAGGATAATATTATTAATGACTTACATTGCAATTATATACCACCTATCACGTGGGGAGGATGTCCCAACTTGGAAAGGCATAGGTTGATTAAAGACAGTCAGTATGGATTTGTTAAAGACAGGTCTTGCTTGATTAAATCCAAGTTTTTTGATGAAATAACTGTAGTCCTGTAGTCCAATAGTGGAGTCCTGTAGCTCAGTGGTTAGAGCACTCGCTTTGCAAGCGAGAGGCCTGGGTCCAGTTCCCAGCAGGTTGAAACCTCGGGCAAGTTTCCTTACTCCAAACACCTAATAATAATCCCTCAAAAAAAAACAATAATAAATTGGTCATTTTCAATCCACGACTGTTTGTGGGACATTGCTGTGCGCAATTGTCTGCCGCATTTTGCCCACAAATATACAGTCAAACAGTGTATACTGTGAAGCGCTTTGAGATGGCTAGAAGACGTGAAAAGCGCTATATCAAATGCAAGGATTATTATTATTATTAAGTGAGAGAGTAGATGAAGATAATGCTGCTGATGAGGTATATATGAATTTTCAGAAGACTTTTGACAAGGTTATCACATAGGAGGCTTGTTAATAATGATGATAATACTTCTGTTTGCCATAGAGCCTTTCACATCAATAGTGTTAGGACCACTGCTTTTCTCCATTTATATAAATTGTCTTGATTCCAGTAGAAGGGACAACAAATGACACAATAATAGGGAGTGTAACAGTGAAAACAATCGGAGGCAACTTCAAGGGGACAGGACAAATTAGTTGATAGGGCAGAGGAATGGCAAATTAAATTTATTGCAGACAAATGTGATGTTATACAATTTGGGAGGAAGATTAAGAGAACAAGTAAATGTTTGGGGTAAAACCAAAGGGACTTGGGGGTTAATGTACATGAATCCTTAAAGATAAGAAGGCAGGTGGACAATGCTGTCAAAATGCTAATGGAAACTTAGATGTTATAAACAGAGGTATTGAATATAAAAGCAAAGAGGCAATGCTAAACCTATATAAATTGGGACCAGAGGCATGGACCTTGTGGTGGGGCAGGTGTCGCAGGGATTGAGCGACGGCCATTATCGGTCGGGGGTGGGGGCTGCCATCTTGGTCCTCCAAGTTTTTCCCCGCCATTCCGCCCGCCAGGTTTGAATCCCTGGTAGCAGCTACAACTCAGTATAGTACAGGACAGCCTATACCAGTGTCTCCCTCCTTCCCTCCCTGTCTGTCTGCCTTATCCTTCCCCTGCCAGCTGCTCGTTGCTTTACATAATGAGCGCCATCCCCCCTTGGCGCCAACTCTAGCCCCCCCCAGCCTCCTGCAGGCTGACAATGTCCTACTAAACACGCCGCCTCTTGTCCCAGCGTGCGCCTCTTGGCTGCCGCCCCCAACCCGAGCTGGCTCTCCTCCAAAATGCCCCCCTCCCTGCAACTCTCCCGCTCTGTCTTCTCTCTCCGCCCTCCCCGCCTTTTATCTCTGCTTGACCCCCCCACTGCCTTCCTCTGCTCCAGGCTGGGAATCCTCCGCCGGGCTCATTGTGGCAGTCGGCGCTGGCTGTCCAGCAGCAGCCATACTGACTGCCTCATTCCCCACTACCGCCGCAAGCCACCCCGGACCCAGACCCCGGGGGCTAACCTCCCTCATCCGCATCCTCACACTCCCTCGCAACCAACCCACTACCCGCTCCCATCCCACAAATCCCCCTGCCAACTGTCCACTCCGCATTGGACTTCAAAATGTCCGCTCCATCTGCCATCAGTGATCGCATCCTCGATAAGAACATTGACATCATGGCCCTCAATGAAACCTGGATCACCCCAGGTGACACCTTCCCCCTCACTGAGGCCACACCACCCAGCTACAGCTCCATGTCCCAACTGGTGTTGCCCTCATCTCCAGGGCGTCACTTGCCCTATCCCCCTACTCCGCTGGTTCATTCCCCTCTTTTGAACACCTTATCCTCTGCCATCCCTCCCGTCTCTCACTAAAAATTCTCCTAATTTACCGCCCACCAAAATCCTCCCCCACCTTCATCTCTGACATCTCCACTCTCTTTGCTTCCCTCTGCCTCTGCTCCAACTGCCTCATCATCCTAGGCCACTTCAACCTCCACTTCACCCCCTCCTGCTCCATCTCCTCTCTCAACCTCTCCCTCCACATCCACTCTGCTACCCAAACCCACAGTCACCCGCTTGACATGGTGATCACCCAGGGCCTCAGCATCTCGGATTCACCATCACTGACAAGGCCATCTCTGACCACCATCTTCCTCAACTCCCATATCCCTCTCCCCACTGCCTCCAAACCTACGCCATCTTCTACTATCCGTGGAAGATCTCTCCGCAATCCCTCTCCTCTGCCCTGGAGTCCTCTGAACTCCTCTGGCCCACCTCCCGCACCAACCCATCCTCTGCGTTTACTCTCCTTCACAGCACCCTCTCCACCACACTCGACACCCTTGCCCCATTCACCTCCTGAACTGCCTCTTATTCCTGATCCTCGCCCTGGTTCGCCAGCCACGTCCGCTTGCTTAAGGGCCAGGTGCGGGCGGCCGAACGCACTTGGCTCAAATCCGGCCTAACGGTCCACCGGCACACCTGACTGGACCTCATCCAAACCCACCCCTCCACTCTCGTCTCGGCCAAATCGGCCTTCTATTCCAGGTTAATCCTGAAAGCGAAAGGCAATCCCATGCTCCTGTTCTCCACCACCAACTGGCTCCTCCGCCCTCCCCTCCACGCCTCACAGATTCTTTTTTCCGACTCTCACTGCGAGAAAATGCTGGACTTCCTCGAGTCCAAAATCGAGGGAATAAGCACAGCTGCCACTGCCCTCCCAACTTCCTTCCCATCCTCACCCCACACAATTACCCATCCCTCCTTCCATAGCTTCGAAACCTGTCACCCCCTCCTCTGTCTTCAACACGATATCCTCCATGAAGTCCACCACCTGCTCCTTCGACCCCATCCCCACCGCTCTCCTTAAATCCCAGCTCCACCTCCTTGCCCCACTATTCGCCGACATCATTAACCTCTCCAATGTCATCTGGCACTGTTCCTACTTCCTCAAAACAGCCACTATCACCCCCACCTTGAAGAAACCTTCCCTATCCAGCTACCGGCCCATCTCAAATCTCCCTTTCCGATCCAAGGTCCTTGAGAGAGCCGTTGCCTCCGTGCTTCGCTCTTTCCTCTCCTCCATGAACCCCTCCAATCGGGTTTCTGTGCTACCCGCAGCATAGAAACTGCTCTGGTCAAGGTCACAAACGAGATCCTGACCATGTGTGACCAGGGCTCCCTCTGCCTCGTCCTCCTCGACCTCTCCGCCGCCTTTGACACTGGACCACTCCTCCACCGCCTCTCCTCCCATCACAACCTTCAAGGTTCTGTCCTTGACTGGTTCAGGTCTTAACTTTCACACCACCTCCACTTCGTCGCGGCAAACAGCTTCTCCTCCAGCCCCCGCCCCGTCTTGTGCAGCGTTCCTCAGGGCTCTGACCTCAGTCCCCTCCTCTTCACCCTCTACATGCTCTTCCTTGGTGACATCATCCACAGACATGGGGTAAATTTCCACATATATGCGGATGACACCCAACTCTACCTCTCTGCCTCCACCCTGAACTCCAGGACTACTGGGGTCCTGACCGACTGCCTGTCCGACATCAAATCCTGGACGAGGGACAACTTTCTCCAACTCAACGTCAGCAAGACCGAGGCCCTCCTGATTGGCTCATGCCAGCGCCTCCGTACCTCGGGCACTGGCAGCATCAGCCTCCACGGCTGCACACTCAACCTCACTGAGCCAGTCAGGAACCTGGGGGTCTTGTTTGACCCCGAACTGTCCTTTCTCCCCCACATCCACGCCATGACCGGCACTGCCTACCACCACCTCTGCAACATTGCCAGACTCCGCCACTGCCTCACCCCTCAGGCCCCCAAACGCTCACCCACAGATTCGTCACCTCAAGGCTCGATTATGGAAACTCCCTCCTCATCGGCCTTCCCAACTCTTCCCTTCACAAGCTGCAGATCATTCAAAACTCTGCAGCTCATGTACTCTTGCGCACCAGCCTCCGTGACCCCATCACTCCCACCCTCGCCCGACTCCACTGGCTCCCCATCCCCCAGAGGATCGAGTTCAAGATCCTCGTCCTCACCTTTAAGGCCTTGTCCCCTCCTACCTCTCTGACCTGCTGACTCCCTACCAACCTTCCTCCCTCACCTCCTTCAAGGCCGGTCTCAAGACCCTTCTCTTCAACCGTGCCTTTGGTCTCCCTCCCATCTCTCTGCCTTCCCTCACCCCTGCACCACCCCTCCCCCAGGCTTGGGCCCCGACACCTAACTGTTAAGCGCTTTGGGATGTCCTCCCGATGTGAAAGGCGCTCAATAAATGTCATTGTGTTGTTTCAAAGAAGCAGCATGGTTAAAATGGCCCTTCTGTGCTGTAAAATTCTACAGTGTTCTTTGTTGTGAAGTTTATTTCTGTGCCTCTGACTGTTTACTAAGTGCCTGACCTGAGTTTCTACCACAGGTGGGCCTGGGTCCTACAGGATGCACTAGGGATTGCCTTCTGCCTCTACATGCTCAAAACCATCAGGCTGCCAACGTTTAAGGTACTGTGAGCAGCATGAGAAACTCGCTTTACAATCCACTTTTGAGTGTTCAGATAAGGATTACCTGCTGCTGGTGAAGTGGATGTTATAAGGAAATGATTCCTATTCCTGCTCTCTCATTTCCTTAATGGTTCTGTACTTTACCACTGCTGTCCTGACAGAATGTCTGTCAGAGGTCAAGTCCTGGATGAGACCTAATTTTCTTCAGTTGAATGTCAACAAGACCGAGGTTCTCCTGATTGACTCCCGTCAGCGCCTCCTCACCTCAGGCGCTGACAGCAACACCATAATAATAATAATAATCCTTGCATTTGATATAGCGCTTTTCACGTCGGGAGGACGTCCCAAAGCGCTTCACAGAACACACTGTAAAGTGAATTGACTGTATATTTGTGGGCGAACACGGCAGCCAATTGCGCACAGCAATGTCCCACAAATAGTCGTAGATTGAAAATGACCCATTTATTATTGTTTTTGGTTTTGGAGGGATTATTATTAGGCTCTGTGTGGAGTAAGGAAACTTGCCCAAGGTTTCACCCTCTGCCTGGAATTGAACTCAGGTCTCTCACTTGCAAAGCGAGTGCTCTAACCACTGAGCTACAGGACTCCACATCCATGGTTGCTCACTCCACCTTGCTAAGCCAGTGTGGACCCTTGGGGTCCTGTTTGACCCTCAACTAACCTTTCTGCCCCACATCTGTGCCATGACCCGCTCTGCCTTCCCCCACCTCCGCAACATCTCCCGGCTCCACCACTGCCTCACACCGCAGGCCCCCGAAACCCTCACACATGCCTTCATTACATCAGGGCTTGACTATGCAAACTCACTGCTTGTCGGCCTCCCCAACTCCTCCCTCCACAGGCGGCAGATCATCCAGAACTCTGCAGCCCGTGTTCTCTCCCACACCAGGCTCTGTGACATATCACCCCCGTCCTCGCCTGACTCCACTGGCTTCCCATCACACAGAGGATACAGTACAAGATCCTGGTCTCACCTTCAAAGCCCTCCACGATCTTGCTCCCCCCTACCGCTGCCAACCCCCACCCCTTAACATCCTACTCGCTCCCTCCGCTCAGCGGGCACCAGCCTGCTTCGGGGCCCCTGCCTGGATCGCCCCACTATTGGTGGGCGGGCCTTCTGCTATTCTAGAACTCCATCCCACAGTCCCTCTGCCTCGCCCCCTCCCTTGCCACCTTCAAGACCCTCCTCTTCGATTGTTCTTTTGATCTCTCTTCTTTCCGCCCCTGCTCTCCACCCTCTCTGACCCAACCCTCAGCTAGGGTCTGAACCTCTGTCTGTCCAGCGCCTTGGGATGTTCTCCTGACGTGAAAGGCGCTATACAAATGTAATTTTGTTGTTGTTATTTACCCCATGTGTATTTGCTGCTCAGTTGGATTCAGCAGCAAGTCTGAATGGTCTGTGTATCGATTTCAAGTGGGCATTCCTCAGGGATTTATCCTTGGTCTTCTTTAACATCTATATGCTCCCGTTCAGTAATGTTAACTGCAGGCATGGGGTTAACATCCACATGTATGCAGATGATACCCAACTTCATCTCTCCATCTCCACCCTCGATTCCAGGACCACTCCTGTCTTGTCGAATTGCCTGTCTGACATCAAGTCCTGGATGAGAGCCAACTTTCTCCAGTTGAACGTCAACAAGACTGAGGGCCCCGTGCTTGGCCCACATCAGCACTTTCTCACTTCACGCGAAAAGCATCACTATTCATGGATCCACTCTCCACCTCACTGAACCATTCCGGAACCTTGGTGTCTTGTTCAACTCTCAACTGTCCTTTAAATTCTACAACCATGCCATGACCCGTTCAGCATTCCCCCACCTCCACAACATTGCTCACCTCCTCCATTTCGTCTCCCATCGGGCTGCCGAGACCCTTAACCACGCTTTCACCATATCCAGGCTTGACTTGCTAACTTCCTGCTCGCTAGACTTCCCAACTCTTCCCTCTTCAAGATGCAGATTATATAGAACTCTGCAACTCGTATCCTCTCCTGCACCAGGATCCATGAGCTGATCTCCTCCTGCTTACCATCTCCACTAGCTCCCCACCCCCAGAGGATCGAGTTCAAGATCTTTGCCCTCAGTTTTAAAGCCCTCTACGGTCTGCCCCACCCTACCTCCTGTGATCTGCTAAAACCTTACCAACCTGCCTGCTCAGTAGGCACTGGTCTGCTTAACATTATCTGCCCTGCCCGCTCCACCATTGGCAGTTGGGCCTTCAGCCTCTCTTCCCACTCTGCAACTCTATCCCTGGAGTCCCTTCATCTTGCCACTTCTCTTGCCTCCTTCAATGTCCGTCTCAAGACCTTCCTCTTTGACTGTGCCATCGGTCATCTTCCCACCCCAACCCCCGTTGTCCCCCAACACTTAATCTAAACCCCAGGTCAGATGTTGTCCAGTGCTTTGGGACGTCCTCCTGAACTGAAAAGCATTATATAAATGCAATTTGTAGTTGTTGTTTATGCCTGAAGCCTGGAATTCCTGTGTTTTACTCCTAGTCCATAGTACTTGTATTGACTTCTAATACATTCACTCCTCTGCTTCAGCACATTTGCAAAGTTGTTTTGACATATTTTGACAAAAAGCGTTTTGTTTCTACCAGGAAGAAGCAGGTAGATAATTAACAGTATTTGGTAGAGAGTCACTGATTGAAAACTCAGATATGATAAGAATCATCTTTCTTTTAAAGACATAATAATAATAAACCTTGCATTTGATATAGTGCTTATCACGTCTTCTCGACGTCTCAAACCGCTTCACGGAATATACTGTAAAGTGAATTGACGTATATTTGTGGGTGAAACGCAGCAGCCAACTGCACACAGCAGCGTCCCACAAACAGCACTTAGTGACTGACGGGACTTGACGTCTGACAGGCCGACTGTTGGAAGAGACAGTAACATGGAATGGTGGAGGCACAGCGCACAGGGAGAATATAGGGACACCATGTACAATCTTTGTGGGTTTTATTGCATTTACTGTTAGATTCTAACACTTCCCCTGTCTTTTCTTTGGCTCCCCCAATTGCCTGTGTATCTCACTCACACGCGAAGCTAGAATGAACAGAAATATCTTGATGTCGGGTCTTTAAACTCCTTACCGTTTTGTCTGCTGATAACAGCTTAAACTCAGACTCAAATCCACAATAGAAGGCAACAGAAACACCCACTGGGCAAAATTCAGGGAACACTTTAGAGAAAGCAACTGTTTTTTTGAAGGGTTAAAAGCATCACACAGCATCTTTTGAAGTGATTCACTTGAAGGATGATAAGAAAGACTAAACTGGATGTTGAATATGGTCCACATGCAAGCACTGAAACTTAATAAGAGTGTTTAAGTGCCAGTGTATCTGAGCAGCTTTTGCTGTATCATCAGATGACTTGCCTGGAATGGTGTGGAGCACTGACATTTATTGGTTTTCTATGGTTAATCAATAATTACTCAAGTTTCAGTCAAAGTTAAGTGATGTAGACTAACCTCTTAAACTGTAAATTGTTCTTTATTAACAGAATAAACAGGGTCTCCTTGGAGCTGAGCTGTCTGCAAGGTGACATGCCTGGCAATGGAATGTTGGAAATGAGCCAGCCCTCTGTGGCAGTCTTGGTAGTCCAATTCCTGAGCCAAGTGGGTCCAAAGTATTCCAGGGCACTGCTGATGAAAGCACAGCCATCCAGGCTCATTGGCGGGACCTGGAGGGACAGACCAGTCACTGGGGGCAAGGAGTCATCCCACTCAGCTCCTGTTAACTCTTCAAGCCAAAGCCCAAAGGGTCGTCCTAGTTGGACAAGCAGCGGGAAAGCTTGCCAGACAGCGGTATCAATGGCAAGATGTGCAGTTTTAGCTGGTTAGACTCCAGCAGTTACCCCAACACACACTCTGGGGTCCCCCCAAGCCTTCGCTGTGCCTAATACCTCCAGGTACAACAATCATCTCCGCTCACTCAAAACACAAACCCAGTTGCTCGAGCGCAGTTGGCAGAAATCCGGCCTCATAATTCACCACCAGCTGTGGCTCGAGCACCTTCACACCCACCACCTCTCCCTTTCACAGGCCACAACTGACTTTTACTCTAAAGTCACCCTGGAGGTAAACAACGATCCAAAGTCACGGTTTTCCCACGGTCCATCACCTCCTCAGCGCACCCCCTCAAGCCCCCTCTATCCTCATGTCAAATGCCAAGTGCAAAGAGGTCCTAGACTTCTTTGCCTCAAGAATTGAAAACATCCATTTGCTACATCGTCCTCCCCATCCCCCCCTCCCCACTGCCCTTCCACCCCACCCAGACCATCCACACTGCCTTCTCCTTCCGCCACAGCACCTGCCACTCCCCCCTCCTTACACTCCTTTGCCCCATTTATCCCTCCTCCCCCTCAGCCACAATCATCCGGATGAAGTTCACCACCTGCTACCTCGACCCCCTCCCCACCCAGCAGCTGGTCACTCAACTCCCCTACTCTCCCCATTGCTGTCTGACACGGTCAACCAGTCTCTCTCCTCAGGCTCTGTTCCACTCCCCCCGAAAACCGCTGTCATCACACCCTTCCTCAAAACCCCACCCTTGATCCCTCTAATCTCTCACACTCCCGTCTCCAACCTGCCCTTCCTTGCCAAAGTCCTGGAACTCATTGTTGCAGATCAACTTTGGTCACACCTCTCCCTCCACTCCTCCTCGAGCCCCTGGTCTGATTTTCGCCCCGACTGCCCACAGCACAGAGACAGCGCTTGTCAAAGTCACAAACATTCTCACTATCTGTTACCAGGGCTCCCTCTGCCTCCTGGTTCTCCTGGATCTCTCTGCTGTGTTCGACACAATCGACCACCCCATCCTCCTCCACGGCCTCTCCTCCCTCATCCACCTTAGTGGGACCTCACTCACATGGTTCAACTCCTACTTAACCAATCGCCTCCATTGCATCTCAGCAAATGATTTCTCCTCCTGCATGCGCATGTTCACCTGCGGGGTACCCCAGGGCTCCATCCTTGGCCTCTTCTTTTCCTTATCTATAAGCTCCATCTGGGTGATGTCATCCACAGATACAGGGTAAACTTCCACATGTTTGCGGATGACACACAAATCTACTTGTTTCGTCCACAAATATACAGTCAATTCACTTTACAGTCTTCTGTGAAGTGCTTTGAGACGTCGAGAAGACGTGAAAAAGCGGTATATCAAATGCAAGGATTATTATTATTATTACTTTGTCTCCTCCAGCACCAACTCCAAATCCCTGATGTTCTAGCAGCTTGTCTGGGAGACACCAGGGCCTGGATGAGTGTAAACTTCCTGCAGCTGAATATGGACAAGACAGAAGCCATACTCCTTGTCTCCCATCAACATCTTCACTCCTGCGGGTCTCAACTCCTCAACCTCCCTAAGCTCTCCCTCAGACTCACCAAACCAGTGCGCAATCTAGGCATCCGGTTCGACCCCCAGCTGTCCTTCCTCCCCCACATCTTGGCCCTGAACAGGACTTCTTGCTTTCACCTCCGCCACATTGGCTGCTTCCAACCGTACCTTACCCCAAATACAGCCGAAACCCTTGTGCATGTGTTTGTCCTATTTGACAGTGCTTACAGCCACCTCTGCCCTCCACCCGGCTCGGATTCAGGCTCCGCCACTGTTAAGTGCTCTGAGATGCTGCCCTGCGTGGAGGGCGCTATATAAGCACAAGTTGTTGTGATACTTTCTGGAATCAGGTAAGCAGGGAGAGAGTGATGATTTTCCGCATGTGTCAGACACCCGGCTGACCCAAGAAAAAAACTTAGGAGAATGTACATATTACACAGGCAGTAAAAGTAGATAACAAACATTGAGCGACTTCCTTCCCTGCCTCAGCCCTCACCATTTCTTGCACTGCCATGGATGCCTGCTTCATTCCTGTTCTCTTCAGTTTACTAATGGAGGTCACTGTATCATTGCACTGCCAGTGGTACTCAACACAGGGTGGCAAAGCAACGATGTTTGTAACAAGCTGCGCAGACACTTGCAGTGTCAGGAACCTCCCTCGTGAAGTGATTTCAATTCTCCTTTAATGGTGAGACCAGGGACTGTCTGTGAGATGCCTCACAGAAGTTGCTGAATCAGTGTGTGTAGGTGGTGGATTAAGGCAAGCTTCATTCGCTAAGACCACTCGCACAGTACGTGTTATCCTCAGTTTCTTCTTTCAGATATTGTATAACCAGTATCTTTCGTGGTCTATTTAATTTCATTATTTTCACCCTCTGATGTTTTTGTGCAAAATTACATAAATTGGGAAAAAAATAATTGAATCTTCCCTTTAATAAAGTGAATGTGAGAAGTGTGATCACGTGGTGTGCCTGAAAATGGCGGGAAGCAGAGCAGACGGAGGCCTCACTGTGTGAAGAAAGCAGGTGCTGGAAATAGTAACACATCAATCACAAAACAACTGGAGCGGAAGGTGGTTTAATATTGTAATAGGACGTGTCCTAACTGTGCTTCCTCCTCCTGCAGGCCTGCACACTGCTCCTGGTGGTTCTCTTCGTCTATGATGTCTTCTTTGTCTTCATCACTCCATTCATCACGCGGGTACGTGAACCTTTGTTTCATTCCAAACACAGATTGTCTCATTCTCTTCCACTAGCTTTCAATTCATAATATTAGTTTGGAATTTCCTGTTTCAGCACAGATAGAATCTTATGCTTGATATTTTTGTGTTCTCTATAGTGCACAAGCTTTGCTACTTACTGCATGGTTTGACATCTTTACATAAGTATTGAACAGCTATTAGAATTGTTTGGGTTTTGCTTTCTCCGTGATACCAGTGCTATTATTTGGGACGTCCTCTCGACGTGAAAGGCACTAAACATATGTTCCCATAGTCCAGCCTTGAGGTGATAAAGGTGTGGACCAGAGTTTCAGCCGCGTGAGGTAGTGCCGTAGTCTGGCGACATTCCGGAGGTGATGGAAGGCGGTGCCAGTTGTGGTGCGGATATGAGGGAGAAAGGACAGCTCAGGGTCGAGGGGAACCCCGAGGTTCCTGATGGCTTTGAGAGGTGGAGAGTGCGGAGCTGATGCTGTCAGCGCCTGAGGTGCGGAGGCGCTGACGTGAGCCAATCAGGAGGGCCTCAGTTTTGCACACGTTGAGCTGAAGGAAGTTGTCTCTCGTCCAGGACTCGATGTCGGACAGACAGCTGTCAGGACATCGGGGATCATGGAGTTGAGGGTAGAGGAGGAAAGGTAGAGTTGGGTGTCATCCACATACATGTGGAAGTTAACCCCATGTCTGCGGATGATGTCACCACAGGGGGAGCATATAGAGGGTGAAGAGGAGGGGACTGAGGTCAGAGCCCTGAGGAACGCTGCACAAGACGGTGCGGGGGGTGGAGGAGAAGCTGTTTGCCGCGACGAAGGTGGAGGTGGTGTGAAAGTTAAGACCTGAACCAGTCAAGGACAGAATTTTGAAGGTTGAGGTGGGAGGACAAGCGGTGGAGGAGGATAGAGTGGTCGACTGTATCGAATGCTGCCGATAGGTCGAGGAGGACGAGGAGGCAGAGGGAGCCCTGGTCACAGATGGTCAGGATGTCATTGGTGACCTTGACCAGGGCAGTTTCTGTGCTATGGGCAGCACGGAAACCCGAATGAAGGGGTTCGAATAATGAATGGGTGGAGAGGAAAGAGCGCAGCTGGGAGGCCACAACTCGTTCCAGGACCTTGGACAGGAAGGGGAGGTTGGAGATGGCTTGATAGCTTGATAGCCGCGACGCATCAAGGGAGGGTTTTTTCAAGGTGGGAGTGATGGTGGCAGTTTTTAAGGGAATGGGAACGGAGCCACAGGAGAGGGACAGGTTGACAATGTCTGTGATATGTGGGGCAGGAGGTGGAGCTGGGAGATAAGGAGTGGAGTGGGGATGGGGTCAAGGGAGCAGGTGGTGGGTTTCAGGGATAGGATGAGTTTGGTGACAGAGGGTGGGGAAACGGGTACGAAAGTGTGTAGGGGAGGATGGGTAGGAGTCGGAGTGTGGGAGGGAGGGGGGTGGGTGGATGTTGGAGGGGAAGTGACCGCGGAGCGAATTCCCTTGATTTTGGATTCAAGGAAATGCAGCATCTCCTCGCAGTGAAGGTTGGAGGAGATGACCTGCATGGGGTGGCGGGGGGGACGGAGGAGTCGGGATGTGGTAGAAAACAGTAGCCTGGGGATGTTGTTCTCCTCCAGGATTATCCCGGAGTAGAAGGACGACTTGGCCGAGGCTAGAGTGGAGCGGTAGATTTTGAGGAGGTCCAGCCAGATTTGTCGGTGGACCATTAGGCCAGATTTGACGCAGGTGTGTTCAGCGGCCCACACCTGGCTCTTCAGTGAGCGGAGGTTGGTGGTGAACCAGGGGGAGGAGCGAGAGTAGGAGACAGTACGGGAGGTGATGGGGGCAAGAGTGTCGAGTGTGGAGGAGAGGGTGTTGTGGAGGAGGGTGAGAGGAGAAGAGGGGTCAGTGAGGGATGAAGGCCAGAGGGAAGGAGTTCAGAGGACTCCAAGGCAGAGGTTAGGGATTGTGGGGGTAATTTCTTCCAGGGGCGGTAGAAGATGGTGGTGGGTCTGGTGGAGGAGGGGAGGGGGGGTGGAGGTGGTGAAGGAGATGAAGTGGTGGTCGGAGACGGCCTTGTCGGTGATAGTGACATCCGAGACACTGAGGCCCCGGGTGATCACCAAATCGAGTGGGTGGCCGTGACTGTGAGTGGCGGAGTTGATGTGGAGGGAGAGGTTGAGTGAGGAGAGCAGGGAGGAGAAGTCCGAGGAGATGGAGCAGGAGGGGGTGAAGTGGAGGTTGAAGTCGCCCAGGATGATGAGGCGATCAGAGCAGAGGCAAAGAGATGTAAGAAGTGTTGAAATATCGGAGATGAAGGTGGGAGAGGTTTTAGGGGCCGGTAGAGGAGGAGGATTTTGAGTGAGAGGAAGGAGGGGTGGGAGAGGGTGAGGTGCTCGAAAGAGGGGAAAGAGCCAGAGGAGTAGGGGGAGAGGGCAAGTGATGTCCTTGAGATAAGGGCTACACCACCACGCAGAGGGCTTTTTTTTTTTTTCCGCGTGCACACTCCTGAAAAGTAAACTGTGACGTCAGCGGTTCCCCCGCTCTGCCCCCACCCCTTCCCTCCTCAGCCCCCCACACCCCCCCAGTCTGAGAGTCCAATCTGAGCAGATCCAGAACTGGGAAAAGCCATAATTATACCACTGATTGTCTCCAGAGACAAAGTTGTAATGTGCTAGAATTTTGGAGGAATGAAATTAGCCCATTTCATAACCATTTAACCTCCCCAGCAATCAAGCATTTCCGTCCCTTCCTTCCTTCCTTCCTTCCTTCCGTCCTTCCTTCCTTCCTCTGTTGATCATAATTATTGGTTTCTCTTACTCACACACTCTCTCTGTCCCACCTCCCCACAGAGCGGTGAAAGTATCATGGTGGAGGTAGCTGCAGGTCCATCAGATTTTTCAACAAATGAAAAGGTATGAGACGTTATCAGCATTAGGAAACTAGTTAAACATATCGTCTTGTGTTCAATACAATGTTTGTTTCACTACTGGTGAGCTATTCTGAGGCTGTGTTTAAAAGCATTGACCTACACTGATAGCACACTCACTTCTGAATAAGAAGATTGTAATTTCAAGCCCAACTACATTAGGACTTTGAAATCACAGTCCAGGCTGTCATCACCGGAGCCTATGTTGTTGGAGGTGCTATCCTTCGGATGAGACGTTAAACCAAAGTCTTGTTAGTTCTTCCTGATCATGTGGATTTTAATGATTCTGATGTAAAATGATCCTATTCAAAAACAGAAGGGAATTTCTCCCAGTGTTCTGTCCAATAATCTCCAGCTAAAACTGGTCACTCATTTGCTGGCTGAGCACAGATTGGCTGCCTCGTTCACCCACAAAATGCAGTCAGAACATGTGTAGGGAGTCATGTGAAGGACTTTGAGATGTCCTCCTGACATGAAAGGTGCTTATTATTGATTATAATTACTGGTGCTGGATTGCAGGACTTCTCAGTAATGCATCCATCTCTGTGCACTGAAACACTGCTTAGTTTGAATAGTTAATAGAAATGATCAGATAAAAGCTGTTTTACTAATTCCACAAGAACTGCTTGAGGATCGTCTAATTTCCTCTCATTTCTCTTCTGTCCCAATAGTCTGATGCTGACTGTTTGTGAGCCTCACTTTATCAGCATGTTAATAATAATAATAATAATCCTTGCATTTGATATAGCGCTTTTCACGTCGGGAGGACGTCCCAAAGCGCTTCACAGAACACACTGTAAAGTGAATTGACTGTATATTTGTGGGCGAACGCGGCAGCCAATTGCGCACAGCACTGTCCCACAAACAGTCGTGGATTGAAAATGACCAATTTTTATTATTTTTTTTTGGTTTTGGAGGGATTATTGTTAGGCTCTGTGTGAGTAAGGAAACTTGCCCAAGGTTTCGCCCTCTGCCTGGAATTGAACTCAGGTCTCTCACTTGCAAAGCGAGTGCTCTAACCCCTGAACTACAGGACTCCACATGTTGGGAGTTAATAACCCAGCATCATCTGGTGTTCGGCAGACAATCACCAAGTCCCAATCTTCTGCTCTTTATACACAGTAATTAACACTTTTTTGCAGTTGCTGAAAAATTCTTTCCTTTTATAAGCCGAGATTCCTTTGTATTCCAGCTCCCAATGGTGCTGAAAGTTCCCCGGCTAAACTCCTCTCCCCTGGCACTCTGCGACAGGCCATTCTCTCTCCTGGGATTTGGAGATGTCCTGATACCAGGTAATCCTGACTATGTGTGATCAGGGTTCCCTCTGCCTCCTCGTCCTCCTCGACCTCACCGCCGCCTTTGACACCGTGGACCACTCAATCCTCCTCCTCCCACCACAACCTTCAAAGTTCTGTCCTTGACTGGTTCAGGTCTTACCTTTCACACCGCCTCCACTTCGCCGCGGCAAACAGCTTCTCCTCCAGCCCCCGCACTGTATTGTGCGGTGTTCCTCAGGGCTCTGACCTCAGTCCCCTCCTCTTCACCCTCTACATGCTCTTCCTTGGTGACATCATCCACAGACATGGGGGAAATTTCTACATGTATGCGGGTGACACCCAACTCTACCTCTCTGCCTCCACCCTGAACTCCAGGACTACTGGGGTCCTGACCGACTGCCTGTTCGACATCAAGTCCTGGACGAGGGACAACTTTCTCCAACTCAACGTCAGCAAGACCAAGGCCCTCCTGATTGGCTCATGCCAGCGCCTCCGCACCTCGGGCACTGGCAGCATCAGCCTCCACGGCTGCACACTCAACCTCACTGAGCCTGTCAGGAACCTGGGGGTCTTGTTTGACCCCGAACTGTCCTTTCTCCCCCACATTCACGCCATGACCGGCACTGCCTACCACCACCTCCGCAACTTTGCCAGACTCTGCCACTGCCTCACCCCTCAGGCCCCCAAACCCTCACCCACACATTCGTCACTTCAAGGCTCGATTATGGAAACTCCCTCCTCATCGGCCTTCCCAACTCTTCCCTTCACAAGCTGCAGATCATCCAAAATTCTGCAGCTTTATGTATTCTCGCGCACCAGCCTCCGTGACCCCATCACTCCCACCCTCACCCGACTCCACTGGCTCCCCATCCCCCAGAGGATCGAGTTCAAGATCCTTGTCCTCACCTTTATGGCCATCCATGGGCTTGCCCCATCCTACCTCTCTGATCTGCTGACTCCCTACCAACCTGCCCGCTCCCTCCGTTCAGCGGATTCCGGCTGCTCCATGTCTCCCGCCCGACCCGAACTACCATCAGTGGCCGGGCTTCCAGCCTCTCTGCTCCCACACTCTGGAACTCCATCCCACGGTCCCTTCGCCTCGCTTTCTCCCTTGCCTCGTTCAAGGTCGGTCTCAAGACCCTTGTCTTTGATCGTGCCTTTGGTCTCTCTGCCTTCCCTTATCCCCACACCATCCCTCCCCCATGATTGGGCCCCGAACCTGATTGTTCAGCTCTTTGGGACGTCCTCCCGACGTGAAAGGCGTTCTATAAACGTAATTTTGTTGTTGTAATCGTTGCCACCTTCGCTTGATCTGGGACCAGTTAGTTAAGACGTGTAGTGACTTCATCCTCAAACATTGACTTGGCAAATATTGGTAATGAGATGTTTTAGATGTCAGACTGACGTTTCTCATGTTCCTGTTTGCAGGAATGTTGGTGGCATACTGTCATCGCTTCGACATCCAGGTACAGACGTCGAGGATTTACTTTGTGGCGTGCACCATTGGTACGAGACTGCACTTGTTCCACATCCACCACAGGGTCAGCTGTAGAATAGCCGCTGTGTGTAGCTCCCCACCCAGCAATCCATTCCTGACACAATAAAGTGAAACAGCATCACTTACACTCTGAAGGGATCTTAGACAGCAGCTGGTGGTCTAAAATGAACAGTCTGATAGGCTCCAGATTGAGTTGGATCTCCCATTCCCTCTGCGCATGTCAGTCTTGATAATGAAACATTATGGAGTGAGTTGACCCAACAATTATGCAAGTGTCTTAACATCATCTTGAAACTTAAGTAATGGCATCATGGTGATAGATTGCAGGAGATTTCTGAAGTCCCCATGCCGAGTATAAGACCCACTTCACTCTGTATAGAAACATCAGGAGGTGGTTATCGAACCTCAGTGATGAACCAGAGAACACCACTCAGGAATGCAGAAGAGGTGGTCGGGGGTAGAGATAATATGATTTTGGTCAATGTGGATCAGCAGCGTCTGGTGTTTAATGTCTCTGCTCTCTTGCAGCCTATGGAGTTGGTCTGCTTGTGACCTTTGTGGCACTGGCACTGATGCAGACTGGACAGCCAGCGCTCCTCTACTTGGTCCCGTGCACCCTGCTGACCAGCATCTGTGTGGCATGGTGGCGTCACGAGGTTGGCATGTTCTGGAGCGGCAGTGGCTTTGCGGTGAATACCACTTTGATATGAACACGTTATATTTTCCAAATCTAACCAATGTGTTGTGTAAGTTTACACTTCTCTCCCACAGTTGGTGGAAATCAGCTTCTCCAGGGAAAGGCCACTTGTATATTTAAGCCCCCCACTCCGCCCAGGTCTGGCTCGCCGGTAACACAAATACTTAACGTTTTGAGATCAATTAATAATCTGGCCTTTATTGGTGGTTCGATGTGTTTCCACCCCTGGGGTATACCTGACCACTTGTAACAACAAAACTCTGAGCAGACCAGGCATTGGTTCCAGGAGGACCTTCAGATCTATCATCTTGTTGATTGTGCCAAGCAGAGAAGCTCAAAACAACCAGATCTTCGGAAATACCTGATGTGTAGTCGGATGCCCTTTTACCCATAGCCCCTCCAGTACTGCTCATCATATTCTGGGAAGCAAGCCTGCCCTTCCTATCGAAAGTCTTGGAACATGTTTTTAACCTCACTCCACGACCTCTCTGCTACTTTTAACATTGTTGATCATTCCAATCTCCTCAATTGCCTCTCTGTCATCATCAAAGTTCATGAAACCGCTATCTCCTTGTTCCATGCTGGCCATGGTAATCACCCTGGCTCAGGGTCTTTGCTCAGTTGGTAGCAGATTGACTCAGAAGCTTATGGGTTCAAATCCTGTGTCAGGATTTTGAATTTATACAGTCTAGGCCTACATACCCATGCAGTTCGATGAGATCTTAAACTGAAGTCCTGTTTTTCCAGGTGGCTTGTAAGATCCCATCCCACTATTCAAGAAGTGTGTCATGGACTGGGCCAATAGAAAAGTGCGGCTGCACTTTTTCCGCAGAAACCGTGACAAACAACCTCCCCCGCTACAAACCCACTGGAGATGTAGTTTATGGCCTGTGGGCCTCCCGGCTGTTTACCTGACGTCACTGTGGGTGGGGCAGGGTGGCTCCGGGTGAGTGACTGTCCTTATGTGTGTCTCTCTGTATGCGTGTGTGAGTGTCTATGTGTCTCTGTCTGTGTGCATCTCTCTCTCTCTGTTTGTGAGTGTCTGTGTGAGTATGTCTGTCTCCCTCTCCTCTGCGTGTTTATGGGTGTGCCTGTGTGTGTCTCTCTATGTGTTTGTGGGTGTCTCTGTGAGTGTGTGTCTGTTTCTGAGTGTGTGTCTCTTTGTGTGTGTCTCTCTCTCTGTATCTCTGAGTGTGTGTATCTCTGTCTCTGAATGTGAGTGTGTGTGTCTGTGTCTCTCTCGTGTGTTTCCTTGGTATACCAGCCACCTCCGCTCCTTTAAAGCCAAGGTGTGTTCCACTGAGCACACCATTTTAAATCAAACCTTAACTGTCCATCGGCAGATCTGGCTGGACCATGTCAAATCCTACCGCCCTCGCCTCCACTAAATCTTCGTTCTACTCCAAGACAATCTTGGAGGTTAAGGACAACCCCAGGCTCATCTTCTCCATCACGACCCAGCTCCTCTGCCCACCCTCTCACGCCTCACCAATCCTCATCTCAAATACCAATTGCAAGGCGAATCTGGACTTCCTCAAATCCAGAGTCGAGGAAATCCGCTCAGCTGCCCCTGCTACACCCTCCCCATCTCCTCCACCCCGGCCTCTAACCATCCCTCCTTCCACACCTTTGAACCTGTCTCCCCCTCCTCTCTCATCACCACCATACCTGTATGAAACCTACCACCTGCTCCCTCAACCCCGTCCCTGCCCCTCTCCTTACCTCCCAGCTCAACCTCCTTGCCCCGCTACTCACTGACATTGTTAACCTCTCGCTGTCCTCTGGTACTGTTCCCACCCCATTAAAAGCCACTGTCATCACCTCTATCCTTAAAAAAAATCTCCCTGGACCCTTCTCTACTTCCTAAATACCACCTTTCCAACCTCTCTTTCCTCTCCAAGTTCCTGGAACGAGTTGTTGCTTCTCAGCTTCACTCCTTCCTTTCCCGCCACTCCTTCTCGTACCCCTCCAATCGGGTTTCCGTGCCGCCCAACAACAACAGCAACAACAAGATTCCATTTATAAAGCGCCTTTCACGTCAGGAGGATGTCCCAAGGCGCTGCACAGTTGGGTCAGGACCCGAGCAGGGGGAAATGGTCAGGGTGAGGGGAGGGAAGGGAGGGAGCGAGGAGGGGGGAAATGGTCAGGGTGAGGGGAGGGAAGGGAGGGAGCGAGGAGGGGGGAAATGGTCAGGGTGAGGGGAGGGAAGGGAGGGAGCGAGGAGGGGGAAGAGAGTCGAGAGGGGAGCTGAAGGCTCGGTCAAAGAGAAAAGCACAGCACAGAAACATGACAAATGATATTCAGTCCATCTGCGACCAGGACTCCCTCTGCCTCCTCGACTTCTCTGCTGCCTTTGACACCGTCAAACACTCTATACTCATCACCACCTCTCCTCTCACCTCAACTTTCACGGCTCTGTCCTTGACTGGTTCAGATCGTACCTGTCACACCGTTTGCACTTCATCTCAAAAGGCTTCTCCTCTAGCCCTCGGACCATCTCATGCAGCATTCCTCAGGGCTCTGTCCTTAATCCCCTCCTCAATTTCTATATGTACCCTCTTGGTGGCATCATCCACAGACATGGGGTCAACTTCCACATGTATGCGGATGACACCCAACTCTACCTCTCTGCCTCCACCCTTGACTCCAGGTCCCACTGCTGTCCTGACAGAATGTCTGTCAAGCATCAAGTCCTGGATGGGAGCAAACTTTCTTTAGTTGAATGTCAACAAGACCGAGGCTCCCGATTGTCCCGTCAGCGCCTCCTCACCTCAGCATCACCATCCATGGGGCTCACTCCACCTTACTAAGCCAGTGTGGAACCTTGGGGTCCTGTTTGACCCTCAACTGTCCTTTCTATCCTACATCTGCGCCATGACCCGCTCTGCCTTCCCCACCTTCGCAACCTCGCCCGGCTCCGACACTGTCTCACATCGCAGGCCATCGAGATCCTCATACACGCCTTCATTACATCGAGGCTCAACTATGCAAACTCCTTGCTTGTCGGCCTCGCCCCCTCCCTCGCCACCTTCAAGACCCATCTCAAGATCCTCCTCTTCGACCATGCTTTCGATCTCCCTGCTTCCCCCCGCCCTCCACCCCGACCCCCAGCTCGAGTCCGTAACTCTGTCTGTCCAGCACCTTGGGACGTCCTCCCAAAGTGAAAGTTGTTGTTTCTGAGTGTGTGTCTCTCTCTGTCTCTGAATGTGAGTGTGTCTCTCCCTCTCTCTCTCTGGGTCTGTGGGCGGTGCTGTGCCCTGAGAGCTCCTGTAGCCTCGCTAGTGTCTCCCTCTCCCCTGCCCCCCCTCTCCCACCATAAAGGCCACCCAGTTTTTGTTAAAGAAGCAATTAATATTTTTTTGCAACAATCTAATATGTGTTAATTCCTCATGTTTAGTTTTTATCAATAAAGTGAAAAATGTAGGTTTGCAGTAAAGTGTACCTCAATAGCACCAATCAACTCCCCGCCATTTTCTGCAAAACTTGTCAGAACCACCCCACAATTTTCTGTGGAATTTGCAAATCGCCCCGCAATTTCCAGCAAATATTTCTGCACTTTTCTATTGGCCCAGGTCATGGCCAACAATTCCCCATTAGTCATTCACATTTTTGCGGGGGTCAGCTGGGTGTCACCATACTTAAAAATATTCGAACCAAACAGAGTTCCATGCATTCCACCTACACATGGAAATTCCCAAGATGTTCATTCACTTCATGGCTGTTTGTGGGACAGGTGATCTGAAAAAGGGGAAGGAGGGAGAGGCAAGGCAAAGTGATTGAGGGAGAGAGTACCGTACTTTCAGAACATAGGGGTTGAAAGCACGGCCGTCGATGGTGGAGTGGAGAGATGAGGGACAAGCAGGAGGCTAGAGCCAACCAAGCAGAGGCGGGGCATGATGGGGTAGGGAGTAAGGTTGGAGAGGTAGGAAGGTGCCAGGGTGTGAAACAGTTTGTAGATGATGGTGCGGATCTTGAAGTCAATCATTCTATGACGGGGAGACAGTGGAGCGCTGTAACTCCTTTGGAGCAGGTAAGTTTACAGGCAGTGGAGTTTTGGATTTTGTGGATAGTGGAGCTGGGAAGACCAGCAAGGAGGACATTGGAATAATTGAGATGGGAAGTGACGAAAGTATGGGACGAGGATCTCAGCTGTGTTTGATATGAGGTACAGTCGGAGGTGGGTAATATGATGGATGTGGAGGGAATTGGTCCTTGTTAGGGACTAAATGGGGTAGGAAGGAGAGCTGGGGTTTGAACCTGATACCTAGGTTACGTGCAGGCCACAGGAGTGATAACGTTGACGGGAGCCAAGGAGTATGGCTTCCGTCTTATCAATGGTCAGCTACAGGAAATTCTGGATGATCTGCAGCCTTTGGAGGAGTTGGTGAAGCGACAAGCAGGGAGTTCGCCTAGTCGAGCCTGGATGTATGAGGGTCTCAGTGGCTTATGGTGTGAGACAGTGGCAGAGCCAGGAGATGTTGTGGAGGTAGGGGAAGGCAGAGCGGATCATGGCACGGATGTGGGGTAGAAGACAGTTTAAGGTCAAACAAGATGCCAAGGTTCCAGACTGGCTCAGTGAGGTGGAATGTGCATCCATGGATGGTGATGCTATCAATACCTAAGGTGAGGAGGCGCTGACGGGACAATTAGGAGCCTCGGTCTTGTTGACGTTCAACTGTAGAACGTTAGCTCTCATCCAGGTCTTGATGTGACAGACATTCTGTCAGAACAGCAGTGGACCTGGAGTCAAGGGTGGAGGCAGAGAGGTAGAGTTGGGTGTCATCCGCATACATGTGGAAGTTGACCCCATGTCTGCGGATGATGTCACTAAGAAGGAGCATATAGATATTGAAAAGAAGTGTCTAAGGACAGAGACCTGAGGAACGCCGCATGAGAGGGTGCGGGGGCTGGAGGAGAAGACGTTTGTGGAGGTGAAGAAGATGGTAAGAAAGCTAGGATCTGAACCATTCAAGGACAGAACCATGAGTTGAG